CCTCTGGCTGGGACGGAGGAAACTCGCTGCCCTGCAGAATCATCCCCAGGGAGCGCATGCTTTTCCCAGACAGGCCTTTTAATCAGCCAAGATCTGCTCAGGAAAAAAAAAAAATCCAGAAAATAACCCAGGCTGTTTGTCTCCCCTTCCCTGCCCAGGGAGGTGACACATGTCCCAAAGCTGGGTGCCATGGGATGGGGACACCAGGAGGGTGCACAGGCGGCTGAGGGTGACAGCACCAGGACCCCTGGATGCTCTCCCAGCTGCACTGCCCTCTGCTCATCTGCCTCCCGCAGAGCCCGAACGGCAGCTCGTGCTGCACCATGAGCCCCAGGCGAGAGAGTTTGGAGAGGAGCGAGGAGCATGTGGGATGGTCACGTCACCCATGTGTCCCCAGCCACCTCCGGTCCCCCCCGAACCTCAGCCCCGGGATCCCGCCGCAGGCTCACGTCCCACGGGGAAACCAGACCCACAGATGCAGATACCCCCTGGTCTAGGCACTATGAAACGAGCTGCTGGCATCCAGAGTGCTACCCGAGGAGCCCTGCTGCCTTTGCAAGCCCGTGGATATTTTGGGTTCCTCCCCAACGTCTCCCTGCAGGGTAAGTGCAACAGCCGCGGGCGCTCGGGATTATCGATCTGCTCCAAGTCCAATGCACTCTAACGCATGGCTGAAAGCTCGCAGAGAAGAGAGATTTAAAGGAGGATAATCTAATTAACGCCAATCAACAGCATGCAGGTAAACACAGGTCTTGTCCAACTCATTCGATATCTTATTTAATAAGCTCCCCAGGTAACCACACTGGAGAACCTGTAAGATGTCTGACTCGGGACTGAGCGAGACAAGCAGGCTGGCAGGGACGCGCTGCTTGGGTTGAAAAACCCAAGAACTCGGTGGAGCTTGCGAGCGGGGATGGTCCTGGGCCGCATCCTGGGGGCTGCAGAGGCCGGTTGGGCTTTTCCTCCATAACCCAAGAGAAAGCATTAAGGTAGTAATAAAAAGGTCTGCAGGTGGGACAAGAACAGGGCCTGGAGGCTATGGGAAAGGTCAGACAGCAATGAGCCGGGCACAAAAATGGCACCTTTTAGCATGGCAAGATATAGGAGCCGTGCAGGAGCAAGGGTACGTTTGCAGAGGGATGCTCCGGCTCAGGAAGGGACGCGGGGACCAAGGCTGAAGATGAGCTCGGTGAAGCGTTATGGCCTTGGATATGTTAATGGGAGACAGACAAGCAGGGTGGGCACAGGGGCTGGACAAGACTCCACGGGAGACCCAAGCGCGGGGTCCAGCAGGGTCTGCAGAGGAGCCAGGGAGGAGCCAGGAGCAAGGCAGAGACTGGGAAGCAAGCCCTGAGGCTCGGGGAGCTCGGGCTGGGGCAAGGGGCTGCTGCACACATCAGCGTGCCGAGAGGCAGCACGTGTCTGCGTGACGAGCTGCACCTGGTGGCCACAAACTCTGTGGCCATCCTGGAGATGGCCACCAGCTTCCAGTGCCAGACACTAAAAGGACAGGCTGGAAGTGACCCGCCGCGGAGGGGAGACCGGCCACCGGAGGAACCAGTGACAGCTTGTTCAGCCATGCAGGTTGCATTTAGGTTGCCTACGCTCCAGGTCAAACACGAACGAATTTGGGGTGATCTAACAGCCCCCATTAGATGGGCGAGGGGCCGGCAGACCCCTCCCATGGGGCTGGCGGGAGCTGGGCTGGCAGCCTCCTCCGGCATCCCTTCTCATGCCCAGTGGGGAGCCCAGTCCCGGCTTGGGATGAGGACCAGATGTCCGCCCGCTCGTGGGGGGCTGGGAAAGCAGCGACCTCCGCCCAGCCCGGCAGCTCCCATGGCCCTGCCGGGGCACACACAGACCCTCCACTGTCACCCTGAGCCTGGCTGCTGGGTCCCACCAGCACGGCTCCGTGCCACACCAGGGCTCGGCTGTCCCCTTACCGGCTCCGACCGCAGCCCCTCCGCTACCCCACTTCGGCATGCAGATGGCAGGAGACGGCAGAGAATGAAGATTTTACAGCTCTGGTCAATAGCCAGGATAGTTTAGATGGCAGGAAAATGTTAAAAATCCTGTTTAAAATGCCAGGCATGCCCCTTGGGTTTAAGTACTCTCCAGGCAGGCGGCTTGCACGATATTTAAAACGTAGAGGGTCGGATCCCAGCTGAGGAAGCTCATCGGGGGCTGCACAGCATGCGCAGAGCTCCAGACCCCCGAGATGTACTGGGCATCCTCAGCAATGCACAGGGGTGAAACGCCACGGGCTTGGTACCCACAGGCCTCACCCTGGTGGCAAGGCTCTCACGGGGGGTGGGGGTGGGGGGTCTGTGCCTCCCCCCGCCCTCCTCCTGCTCTGCAAACTTGCATGATCGGTAAAAAGCAGCCTCAGGAGATGGGAGAGCTGACAGCCCGGGCACGGCTGGCTGGGAAGCGGCACA